CATGAATGGTGAACATTATTTAATGGCCCCCCCACGTGGCACAGCGGTATGTCTGCGGACTTACAACGCTAGAAACCGGGTTTCGATACCCGTGGTGGGCAGAGCACAGATAGCTCATTGTGTAGCTTTGTACTTAACTTGAAACAAACAAACAATTATTTAATGTCAAGTATGATTACATTTTTGTAGAACTGTCAGACAATTCCAGAAAAGGCCGCAGGCCCAGTAGCCTTCCTACCTGCCGGGTATTTCTGCTAGTATTCTTAGCTATCTCTCTCATTCTTCCTGTGAAGTTTCAATGCGGTGGTTCGTGTTAGACAAGAATTAAGTTACCTAATTTTGGTTAACCTGTCAACTAGTTATGTTTTGAGACGAATCTGGCCATGGCTTACTTTGCCACAAGCACAACACTTATATTGAGTTTATCTCATATTATTTTAATACTTTTATCCGATTTTCTGAAGTATCGCATGGCTGAGTTACTATTTTCTGACTATAATCACATTTAAACGTATTTCATCAACAAAAACTGTGTTGACTGAACTTTCGTATCATTTCAAAGCAATCGGTAAGATAATTTAGAAGAAAATATACAGCTGTTTGAGAGCAAGTAGTCCGGTACAGATCTCAGTCAATTAACGTTTCCTTCTACTTGTTGTAATATTATCAAATTGTATTTTCATAAATTAGTAATTCTTATTCTGTGATACCTACCTGTTCAGGCTTATTTAAGAGCCAATATTGAGAGAAATGTGAACGTTATTCAAGATTGGACAAGAAGCTAGATGTGAATATGATAAAGAATTTGTTATAAGACAACCTAGAAGAACAAATATATTATCTACTCAAAATGTTTAAAATAGTCAAAAAATATCCAAACAAATTGTTCTTTTAAAATATAATAGAAGAACGTTAAATAACAGTCAGAACAGCTGTAAGAAATATATGTTCAATATTTTGATCAAATGGCCTTCACTACGCTCTAAGAAAGACGAAAGTGTAATATTATACAGAGATACAAACAAAGTCTCGCCTTCACTACGATCTAGGAAAGACGAAAGTGTAATATTATACAGAGATACAAACAAAGTCTCGCCTTCACTACGATCTAGGAAAGACGAAAGTGTAATATTATACAGAGATACAACCAAAGTCGCGTGTGAATACGTTATATGGCAAGAGAAATGGGATTAGTAAAGCAAACAATTAATACGAAAACGAGAGAGTATCCTCAATAGCCGCGGATCTTGAAATTCTTTTAAGCAGAATTATAATAAATTAATCTACGATACTTTTTTTTTCCTTTTTATTACCTATATTTTTGTGCGCCAGCAATACCAAACGTGGGGCGCGCGTATACCGTTTCGATTTTATTACTCATCAGGATCTTTACCAGCCTACTCTCAAATTGAAATTCGTTTTGGCAAGATTAGAGTAAATTAATCTATGAGGTCCTGGGCGTGGTCAAGTACATCAATCGAAATGGCTTGACCTCCTTAGTCCAAAACTGTAATTATATCTCAAATTGATCAAGAGATGATGGAGCTATAAGTTAAAAGTTTGTACTTGGAAAAACTCAGAGCCACTCTGTGAGCCGCTATGCCGCGGCAAAAATATTACAAATAAAAAATTAATGTATTTAAAACTTAATATTTGAATAAAATAATAGTAATGGTTAAGACTACAAGAAGCTACAAAAGCTTAAGAGTGGTAGTTTTATCTTTAATCGCTTGTGTAACCAGAAACAGAATGGCCATTAGATAAAAAGCGGGAAGACACACGTGTTTGAACATTGTTGGTTTCAGTGTGTAACGT